TCCCTTTGCAAGGGCATCAAGAATGAACTTTTTAATTGGTTTGACAACGTGGAATTTCAGTTGTGTTTGCCCACAGCAAATCCTGTTTAACGAGCAGTTCCTCATCTTCTGTCACCGCAGGATGAGAGCTGCATTGGAGACTCAACTCCTGAACTCGCCTCAAGCCATGAGTGTGTTAAAAGACAACCCCATGAGTCATGAAGTTGAACACAAAGCACTCTCTTACCTCTTCTTCTTGGTGATGATGAGGACATCGTTGAAGAGGAAGAAGTACACTTGCTGCTTAGAGGTTCTTTTGGAAAAGAGTCCAGTGTCTTCCACATAGGCTGTTAACTCGCCCCTTTTCACCAGCCACCGGGAGGAGGAGACCAGTGGAAATGGCTGCAAGGCAAGGAAACCACCTTTTTAACCCTCCAAAAGTAGAAAGTCTTTAAAAATCAGGGAACAGTACTGTGTGTTTGGGAAAAATGCTTGAGTAAACTCAAAGCTCAGAGGTTACAAGCACAAAGAGATTACCAAGGTTTAAGGGAGCTCCATCATTCTGACACACACAGGTAACAGCTGCAAATACCTGGGAATCACTCAGGCACCTGACACCACCACTGCTCATCGAGGATACAGATGAACAGACCTGACTAGTCACACTCAGGATGGAACAGACTGAGAGGTGCCCTGAGGGGATCAAAGATAAAGCCTCTCTTGCAGGAATGTGTGCGCAGAGTGCGCAATGCCTCTTGCAGCCCGTATGGACACTGGACTGTGCTCTTGGTACCTAAGAGCAGAGGTGACACTCCCTGTGATGTGTCATCTGGGACAGTCAGGCACGTCTGCACAAACCTTCCCCTATGTAGGAGGTACAGGCAGAATCCTTCCTCCTTCCAAGGACAGTACTACACCAAACCTCTCACATGTTTCCACATACTTGCTGTTCTCATTAGGAACTCTTAAAAGTTACCTGTCCATTGCCAGATTTAAATGGATAATTACGGATCCTACAGCTCCTCTCACTCTTTATCTACCTCTCAACATTTGAACTCTACATGTTTTGTGGAGTGGGAGCTCCATTGCTCTCTGAGGAGAGGACCAACAAGCCAGAGAGGATCTGAGCTGCCTGATGTGAAGACCTGGCTTTGTTAATCCAAATTATTCCCAGCTGCAGGAGAAACAGAGACCATGGAAGGACCTTTTGTCTCTCTAGGCCATGAATATGGAAGGGGATGTGAGACTGTGTCCTGGCCACATAGAACAGATCCCCTCTGAGGCTGCACTGACAGACCCTCCAGGCAGGCAGAGGTGAACACAACTGTCTTCCTCTCATTTAAGCACCTTTAACATGTGTGTAAAACACATTCCTTCATGCAATTTGTCAGCTGCGCTGTCCATTCTGCACGACTTGGCATTCTGTATCCACTAATCCCTTCAGCTGCTCTTCACTGAGCCAACTTCAACCTGTCCACACCTGCCCCACAGTGCTGAGCCAAACCCAAACCCAGTGCTGGGACTAGGACCTTGCTGCTGGAAGGACAAAATATTGACTCCCTAAAATAAACCTCCAAAATTTCTCTGATGCTAAAGATGTAAAGTTTAAGAATAAAACCTTCTTAACCTTGATTAAAAATTAAACTACAGATGAGCCACGAACAAAAGTGACACAAGATCTGAGTTGTTTCTCATGCTCCCATGAAACTCTCCAGTTACATCTACAAACTAATAAACAAAACCGCCAAACACTCTGTGAGGTTGGGCAAGAGCAGAAATACTTTAACTAATTTATGGTGGTTATAAAACAGAATTACAGCCCCATGACAATTTGGTTACAAGCAAAAAGGACTTGAAAAAATTTCTATTTGAGGATGAAATAAAAATTCTTCTAATCTGTACTCTGAGTTCATCCCATCTTCCCAATTGAGTCTATTCCAGAGGCAGCTTGGTTGTACTTTATTTTCCCTGAATTGCCCAAGGAGCACATCTCCCTGCGACAGCAACAGCCTGTCACAAGTTAAAAATGCACTGAGCCGTGGCCAGCGCAAGGCTGGCCCTGCCAGCTGGCACCAACCCCGACCACAGGCAGGGCCCAAACCACTCCATGGCTGTGCTGGAGAGGAACAAACTCACATAACCCACAGAAATCACAGCCCAGGACAGTGCTGGTGGTGCTGTGGTACCAGCATGAACATGTGTGGAGCAGAGTCACCCAGGGCTGCCTGTGCCTGTGAGCTGGGATGGACAGTGCCTTTCCTCCCAGGGCAAAAGTGAGGGACCACAGGCCCTGCAGGCACACAAATCCTGAGGTGCTCCCAGGGATGTGGGAACTGAGGGACACTGCAGCCTGGCCCCAGCTCTGGGCTGGACTCAGCAAGAACTTGGGCCTGTTATCACCACTGCTGGGAAATGCAGTGATGTCACTTGCCTGGAAGTGTTTTATTTGTTGCTGCTGTTGCTATAAGTAAATATTATTATTATTTTAGTCGATTTTCAGTTAATGTTTGAAAATAAAAATACTTCAGAGAAGTAAAAAAACCTCTTTTGGAGGCAGCATCTCCCCGAAGCCTCACCCAGAGCATCTCAAGAGGCTTTTAAAGCCTTGAACCTCCACTCACTGGGGGCTGATAACAGTCAACTCCCAGAAGAATCCTCCTTGTGTAACAGTGTCAGACATTAATTGTGGAAATGGGATTTTAACAAACATTAAGTAGAAAACAATAAATGTACTTGAAGAAAGATCTCAAAAGTCTAATAAACTTCTCCTGCCTGTGTTTGGGTCTGTTGGTGTTTCCTCCCAGCATGACTGACTGCATAGGAAACTTATTACAAACCTAAATTGTATTTTCAGTACTAGAAAGAAAAAAAAAAAATGGGACTCTTTCAGTATCCCAAGACTCTTTACAGAATCTTTCCCTGGCCTGGAAGCATTTCCCAGGAACACCTTCCTGTCAGGTACATGGAACATCTCAGCACAGAGCAGTACCTTCAGCCTCTCTCCTAAGGCCAAAACCTACACAGCAACTTAGTATCTACAGCAAAGAATACGCTTAATTCAGTGCATATCCAGAATCCCTAGTGCTGTGGATAACCTTCTGCTAAAATCAAAGTGCTTGACTGAAGTTACCATTTTTGTCCTGCCACAACAGATCATTTCTTTCCAGGAATCACTTAGGATAGGACAACAATGGGCAAGTTCCATTATCTCAGTGACAGTGGTCAGAAATAGTATTCTGCTCATACCTTGATTTTGAATTCCAGCTGGGAGTTGATGGTGTACATCATTTCTGTCCTTTCCATCTTCCGGGCGCCCTCGTTGCACAGTCGCACCAGCTGGGAACGAGACACGCACTCAGCAGGGGTCAGAGCCTTAGGAACTGCCACACTAACTTCTGTCCCTGCACAAAATGCACTTCTGGGGAGGCACAAAGTCTCCAATGCCTCCCTGCAGGGATGGTGCCCATAGTATAGACATCCCATAGTCAGGGCCCCGAGGGACCAGGGCTGAGCAGACCCCTGGCACTGCCTGACCCCAGATCCCCTCACCCTCCATCAACCCAATACCCTGGCAACTATTGTCCAGGTGGTACAAAGGTTCAGCCCAAGTTCTGTCCGAGCAGGGCCATGGTGCCCTGATCCAGGTTAATGATCAGCTCCAAACACACTCCCCCCTCCCAGCTGGACACAGCTTCCCTCCCCACACTCTGCTCCCACACACAAACCTGATAGCACCAGTGTCACCCAGTTTGGGATCTGTTCCTAAGTAATAACCAGTAATTCTGTGTCAAACTGATCCCTAGGGAACTTTCTTAAATACAGCTGAGAGCTTTTATGCATCAGTGCTCTTCCCACCTGCATTATTCATGCATGGAAAACATCCATTTTTCCCTTAAGGTACACAAGGCTGTTAAAGGCCCAAAGTAATGTCCAGCACCAACAGGCAGAGGGAGAGGTTTTTTTCACTAAACAACACCCAGCACTTCTCATCTCACATCAGTCCATCATGCACTACAGTTCCTGAAATTCTGACATCTTGGGAGGCAAAAACCCAGTCCTTAGATCCTGAGTTTCAGGTTTTCTTTTCATATCGCCATGTTCTGTTTTAAAGAGATGTCTGTTTCCAGAATATAATATATTAAGCAAATAAATTGGAATATCCCTCCAGTTTACAGAAAAAGGGATAATCCGACTGCTCAGGCTCAGAGGGAAGGACCCAAGTTATTACCTAAGTCAGTGCTGCTGAGATGGACAGTCTGGACTTGTGCTTTAGTCCCACTGCTGATTCCTGGCCAAAAGGTTTGAAGGAGGGGAACAGCTCTGAACAACTGACAGCAGGGAGTCCATTCACTTAGATACAGGCTTAAATCTGCTCACAAGATTCAGACTATTTACTGTCAGGACAGTGGTTTGGGGTTTGTTACATGCAAGGTTCACCTGGGATTTCTGTTGGAAAAACTGCAGCAAACCAAATAAATTCGTTCAACTACACAATGAAACAGGTGAACAAGAGGAGTAATAAACATGAAAATTAATTCTCAGGTGACCAACAGAAACCCAAAGCAGGCACTCCTCAGGGTGGGTGCATGAAATGACAAAAGCATTGAGGGCAATTCACAGAGGACAACAGTCAGAGCAGGACAACTCCTGTCCCAGAGTGAGCACCAAGGACTTACCTTGCTGACCTCCTTCAGAGCCTGCTTGCAGTTCTCGTATTTTGCTGAATCCTTGGGGGTTTTCTGACAAATAGTCTGAAATGAAATGTCAGTTACATCAGAGGAACAAGCAGCACAGATTGAAACCAACAGGGATGTCACATCTTAGCTGAAACCAAAGGGCTGGACCACAACTGTGAGCTAGGATACAGCAGGGAACATTATATCACTTCATCATGCTAAGGAAGACCTCGATGGAGAGCTTTTGGGAGCAAAGTGATGTTTTGCACCTCTCAAGATAAGGTTTACAAGGCCATCTCCAAGAAACAAACAGAACTGAAAGAGTGGGAAATGCTTGGTTCGTTTGTTTGGATTATTTTAGCCAAAGAGGGAAAGGAGGGGAAGGAAAGAAAAAAACAAGATGGGGGAAGCCCAACCAGTGACACACCAAAGAAACACTGGACTGGTATTCCATTTCTAACCCAGGAATGCACTGCAGAGAAGAGAGAATTCAATGTCTATAAATGAACTGCCCTGGTTATTGAATTAATCAGCATCAAATTTGCAAATATATAGAATAAAATCATCAGTCCTGTTCCTGGCTCTGACCAGTGCTGGATCTGTGTCTGGATCACAGTCTGCATTACTGCTGGTGGTTCAGCTCCTGATTTAATTCTGGCATTGTAACTGAAACACCACAAATCCTGGAGTGAATTCTGCCTCACAGATACTCCCTGGCACTGCACCACACTCCCTGAGTCCCTGGTCACTGGTTTCAGAATCATTTTGACCCTTTATTGTATCATTTTCCTATTAGAATGTCCAAATATTTAACTTGTGAATGGAATAGGAGCAGAAGGGACCAGTCAAAGTCAGCAAACAAATGCAGCAAGACTCCGTACTCCACAGTCCAGGACCTACAGCCCTGGACTGGTGTTAAGGGACTGAAATGAACCAATGAAGAGACTGAAATTAACCAATGTGAACACTGAAAGAACATGCATCAAGAAAAAAGAGAGAAATAGCTGTCCTCACATCCATGAGCAAGGGGAGACGAGTGACTCTCTGCATGGGAAGGATGAGGAAGGAGATCATCGGCAAATTCCGGCAATCCTCATGGGACTCGATCCGGGACAGCACCTCCTTAAATGCTGGGTTTGTGGCTCTGGGGGAAAGGGGGAGAGAATTAAATGGTATGTTTCACCAAACCACTGTGCAAGTTGCTATGTTTTAAATAAATGCTGATGTCACTGACAGGTAACTGATTTGCAAGAGTCAGATACCTAAGCCTTCGGTTTTACTCCCTTGGACACATCAGCCCAGCACTGACACTGAAAGCTCAGGCTGTGCCATACCTGAGCGTGAGGGCAGCCCCAGGTGTGCCACACAGGACAGCCTGTCTGACACTGAGCTGAGCAGAGGGAATGTGAGCCCCGAGCACAGACAGGATTGGGCTGTGCAGCCAGGCATGCTCTCACCCTCCATCACCTTGGAAGAACGTGCACATCAGGGACAGCTGGGCCTGTCAGCACATGCTTAGCTGGAAGCCACAGGCTTTGCACCAAACACCACAGCCTACTCCTCACTCCTACTCCAAGGGGTGGTTCTGCAATCCCGTCCCTGTCAGTGCTTACAGCAGTCTCTGCAGCGTGCGCTGCTGATAGACCTCGTTGCTGCAGTACTTGACGTAAGGGTCGAAGGAGGAAGCAGCATGTTTCTCCACTATGTCACTGATGTCGTTGATGAAGATGTTGTTCTGGTGTCTTGCTTCCAGTTCTTCAAAGAACCTGGGAAAACAGAACATCAACTGCTCACTTCTACCAAAACATAGCACCTTTCTCTCGTGACACTTCACTCTTCACCTGACACAGCCCAAGGCTTTATCAGCTGATGACAACTGGAACAGTGTGACAGGGTGACATCATCTCCCCTGGCAGAGCAGCGAGGGAAATCCTGACAGGACACAAGTCCAGGGGCACTGGTGTCCCCTGGCAGCCCAGCATCAGCAATGCTGGCACAGGCACTTCCCTCTCCCACTGCCAGATCCCAAACAGCATCGCTGAGCTGGTCAGACCAGAATTTCCAGAAATGGGGTTGGAAATTAAATGAAACTACTTCAAACACACATTAACACATTTCCTCTTGTAATTAAAGGCAGCACAACACCAGAGGTGCTCAGTGAAGTAAAGGCATTGTGAGTGTTGACCTAAGGACAAAGCAGAGCAGGACACAGGGCTCATGTTCCACGTGCTCCAACATATCACTGAATGCAATCACAAACTAGAAACACTGAAATGGGCACCAAAGCCAAAATCCTGAGCTAGCTTCTTCCCCTAAACATGCTTCTTCAAAGAACTTCCTTGTTTTTCATCCTCTGTCCCACATGTGAGTCCCTTTGGCCTCTGGAAGCTTCCCACTCCTTTCTGTACTCCTGACTTTCCCAGAAAGCACAAGCTTTGATTTCCATGATGCTCATTAGAAACCTCTCACTGTTTGGGGTCTAAGAGCTCACACAGATCAGCTCTGCAGGTCACCACAAGTCCTGACATGACACACCAGGGCAATCCTCACACGTGTAAAGATGCTGACAACCTGTTCACAGCCTTTGCACATCAGGATTCACTGCAAGAACCCTGAACTCCCTGAGTCAACCAGCTCACAAAAACATTCTCATACAGCACAGAAAAAGTTAAGGAAATACTTGGAACATGTGATCTCACACCAAGCTTGAATGTTTTGAAACCTTTTTTATTTACTATTCCATTTCTCATCTCAACAGTGGCTCTTCAAGTCTGCCACCTTTTCTCAAGGGTGCTACCAAGGTTCTCCATCTTTGTTTCACAAATGCACCTCAGACAAGCAAGAGGAGGAGAACAGGGCAGCAGCTGATCACCCAAGAGTGCAGCAACAAAGGTTAACTAAATTAAGGCATTTTTCCAGGTGTGCTTAGAAGCAGTTGCTGCATTGAGTGGCTGCCAGGCTCTCCATGGGTCAGTCACAGCCAGAACAGACTTGCAGTGTGCTGTAGATTTGGGGTTTTGAGTCAGGACCAGCCCCAAAGGGCACATCACACTCACTGCAACGACAGCTCAACCACACAGAGACAAACACTGCAGTGAAGAGTTGCCTGAAGTGTCATTGGGGCCCCAAGAAGGAAAGAAGTAAAGAAAATAAACCAAAAAAGATCCTCTAAGTCAGACTCTGCAATGCCTCCTGAACCAGGTTCCCACCACTGACCACAGGCACTGCCTATGACTGCGGTTTGTTTCTCTCTGCTCAGACATGTTTATAGCTGGGAGAACCTCCCACTGCTGCCAATTTACTTTGCTCAGGAAATGAGGAAATCCAACATTTCCTGCTGTGTGTTATGGCACACTGACAAGGTGTTGGACCGTGCTGGGACACAGCTTCCACTTTTAGATTTATCTGGTGCTTCATCAGTGACATCATCAGACACCGTGAGAACAATAAAATCTGGGATAGCAGGAGACTAACAAAAAAAAAAAAGGAGAATGAGAAAAGGGAAAAGAGAGGCAGAGAGGAGCAGCACACCCAACTCTCATCCTCCAACATGTACCAGAATTATGCATCAAAGTTTGAATCAAAGGCTGTGGTTTTTCACATCCAATCTGCTGATTACTAGATGCAATCATTGAACCAGACACATCATAAACCCTTTTACTTAGAATTTTAGGACATATTCTATCATATATCTCAGGACAGAGGGATGAAGTGATTATATTCAATGTAACGGACTAGGAATTCGCTGTGGTGGGCAATGCTTTTTCTGCTGAGTGCCAGAAGGATTCATTTAAAGCATCTGTTTCTGCTAAATCCAGAACTTTTCTGGTTAAAGTTAGATCCAATCAAGTGAAAGTCACACAGCATCACAGGACAGCAGTTGATTTCCCTCATCTTGCCCTTACGTGTTTAAAAGAAGTATCCGATCTGTAACACTCCAACCCTTCCCTAAAGGCCAAATCCAGAAATGCAGGTTTAGCTCATTCCCTGATTATTTCTGCTTCCAGCACAAGCTCCAGGGACACTGGAGCTCTGGCCAGTGCTGGCACTGGGCCTGTCTGTATGACAAGAGTTTCCTCCTCACAGTTTTGGTTGCTCCTGTTAAGGCTTTTCCCACATCTTCAGGCAGAGCAGCAACACCCTGGGAATCACCTCAGGAACAACCTCCTGACACTTGCTCAGGCAGTTTTCTCAAGCTGTTTTTTCCTCCTCATCAGCACTGCTTTGATTCATGACTGATACCCACAAACTTCTCAGGAGCTCTAGTTAATTCAGCTGTATGACCACAGAGGTTCATGCACGCTGTCACGGACTGCTCCCCACAACTCACCTTTACAATGGCTCATGTACAACTGCCACACTCCCAACACAGAGCTCTCTCAAACAGAGCCCAGGGACCATTCTGGCTGACATTTCACCTCAACATTAACTCTCCCTTCACCCCTGGATAAGGACAATAACTGAGCTGGATTTACATTCCTAGGAATACTGGATCCTGCTATCTGCATATTCCAAAATCAGACTGGCACTGAATTAAAAACCCTTGCTCAGTGTTCCTGAAGCTATCACCATCTAAGTGCCTTACATGAAGCAGATTATGATGCAGGTTCAGCTCTAGAGAGCTGCAGCTGCCACACGGTCATCCAGTAAGGAAAACAAACCACTGGAGTGGCAGCCAGTACAGTTCAGCTTCCTCCTCCTAGAGATAAGGGAACTGGAATAACAATTGCCAATTCCAGATAACTTCAGATAAGAGTAATAAAGATTTCTGATTAGCCTCTCCAAACCTGAATCTTTCCATCGGGAACAGAAGTTCAGCATCTGCATCACTGATGGTATTTGGGGAAGGGGAGAGGAATTTAAAACAGTAAAAATGGAAAAATACAGTCTTATTTCCATAGAATCTTTATGCTAAATCAGAATTGGAGCTTTTACCCCCCAAGAAATGGCCCAACAGAGGGTGATTAAAGTGCAGGACTGAAAGTAATCAATTTGTTTTGTTGCCACAGTCTAAATAATGGAAACCAACACAAACCTACATACATAAATGTTAACTCCAAATGCTGCAAAGCCAACAGACCTTAAAACACCTTTTACTGGGAATATCCACTGAGCAGCTACAGAGTCAAACAAGGAAAAACTGACCCTAACAGCTTATTTGTTCTTTCTGCAACAACTGGACCAACTTTGGGCAAGCCTTCCCTCAAGGACCTGCCCCACTGGTGAGCCACCTGCCTTTCCAGCTATTTATAGTGCTCTGGCAGAAATCCAGAGCAATGGAAAGGCCACAGCAGCCCCACCAAGATATCTTGTTCCAGTAAGATTCCCAAGATAGCAGGCAGGTGCCTGCAGCACCTGGTCAGTGCTGAGCACTGCAGAACAACAGATCTCCATTCAGCCAATAAATGCACACAGAGAACACTCTGGGCCAATAAGATGTAAACCTTTTTGGTAAGTTATGAAATCACCACAACAGAAATCTTCATGTAAAAACCCTTCCCATGCTGGACAGAGATGCTTTTCATCCTGCTGAGAAGTGGATGCTGCTGCCTGCCACCCCAAGGCTCACCTATCACAGGGCAAACAGCCACTTGCCTGTCACGATGAACTTATGGATCATTCTGTGAAGCCTTCCTGCAACAGGGATGAGGCTATTCCCACAGAACACACTGGCTAGAGCAGCCATGCTATCAAACACCATGAGTAGAGACCCTGGAGAAGGGAGAACACCACATATGTAACCCGTCTCATGCTCTCCCAGCCTGGGCTGTCACCTGCAGTCCCTCAGTCACAGGGACCAAGTGTCAGTCCCAGCAATGACCGATGCTGCTATAATGCAAAACAACTGATCAATTCACATGCCTGAGAAGAAAATTTTGCTAATATGAATCATATAAAAACAATTAAGCACTGCTTTGTCTTGAGCAAAGTGTATCAGCCAGGAAACACTCCTCCTCAGTCTGGAAACAGCAGTGATTCGCAGAGCACCCAGGAAGCTCTCCTGGGAAAGCTTGGAATTTATCTTCATTTCCAATGACAAATTCCCCCCACACTGCTGCTTCCCCAGCCCTCAGAGCCCAGTGGGTATTCCTGTGGGCACTACCAGTGCCCCATGCCAAGCTTCAGACACTCCCAGCTCCATCCTCCTCACGAGGGCACTGCACTGGCGCCAAGCTGCCAACCACGCAACCTGCAAAGGGAAGGGAAGTTCAAAGTTCAACTGTACCATCACCACAGCAGGAGGGTTTACAGCCTTGGCAGCTGCTTTCAGCAGGTGGAGCAGCAATGCCTGTGACAGGGAGGCCAAGGGGCAGGACACAGCCTCCAGAGCTGCTGGATTCTCTGTGCCACCCCAGGCACTGCAGCCCTTCCCTTCACACCTGACCCAGCACAGTCTCCAGTGTTGCTGGTTTCTCTCCGGGCCACCCTGGGCACTGCAGATCCTTCCCTACCCAGTTGCAGATGTTATCCAGGGCAGCAAAGTATCACACAGGCTTAAAATCAGGGAGAAAGTCACAGGTTTTGAACTGCTGCACATAAAGCTGCTTTTCCTATGAAATGCACAAATAAGTGTCTGTATACATGGCCTTCACACTGACACATCTACATCCATAGAGCCATGGCAGCATGGACACAGGACAGCACATGCTGTGCTCGGGCAGGGAATATTCCCTCAGTACAAACACCACAAACCAACCTCGTTGCTGCCCATGGCAACAGGCAGCAATGCAACCCAACCCATCTGTCTGCAGTGACAGCTCTCAGCACCTGAGTTCGAGGTTTAAACCTCACTTAAACAAAGCACATTGATCCCTGAGAGAAGTTGAGGGAACAGACATACATCCTCCCACCATGACAGCCTGGCTAAACATGGAGATTCCCAGACTTATCAACATCTTTGTGCCTTTTCAAAGCTGCACATTTTGTGCAAGATGGGCCATGCCAGAGCTCTGAAACCCAACTGACCTCTCCAAGGCCTAACACTCATACCCAACCAAGGGAGACTGTTGCTTCCCTCTGGATCAGGCTCTGCCCAAGGAAAGCAGAGATGCAAGTTCGAGTAACTGCTGAACATCCACCCACTTTACTGCCACAGGAACACTCAGATAAGTACAGTTGTCCTCTTTTGTGCTTCCAGCAGCAGCAGTAAAACTAAAAGATGGTAAAAGATCCATCAGCTGCTTCCAGAACAACCCTCCAAGCCCCAACAATGAAGCCTGATTGCTTCAGAGGGTCTGTGTGGGCAGTGCCAGATACTGGGACAGCAATGCTCTGTGGGAAGGGACCTACAGGATAAACAGTGTTTGGGTTACAGCTGGGAGGCTTTACAAGTTTGAAGCACTTTTGTTCTACTGTCCTAAATCATAAATATTCACATAAACTACTCTGTGCAGAGGCTGGGCCACAGAAGAGCCACAGGCTGCAAGAAGTCAGCTGGGAAAGCTGTCCTGGGATTATTTCTTACTTTGTTTTTTAAGAAGAGAAAACGTTTCCATAACATGTAAATGGGTCTCAGTACAAATACATGGCATGGCAGCTCCCTGCCATAATTCTGGCCATGCTTCCACAGCTCCTGCCCAACTCACTCCTTCCTTTCCCTCCTTGCTCCTTCAGGTAAGTCACCACCACTTCTGAGGATACTCAGACAAGCTGTTAACCTCCCTCACAAACTCACCTGGGCTTCTCTACACAAGGAGTTCAAAAACAGTCAGAACCTGTCAAAATGTTTTTGTTAGCATCTTTTCCTGCTAATGTGATATTGCGTAAGCATTTTGCTTTACGCTGGCCTAAGGGCAGAGAGGGGAAGAAATACAAAGCTTTCCTTTCTCCTACAAACTTGGTGATTTGACCTGCCAGACCAATTGTTCTTCCAGACACTTACCTGTAACTCTCCTTTCCCCAGACAGGCTCTTGGGAAGCTGTGGCCTCTCTTGCCCCATGTACTGACCTTGGACAGTGTCTCTGACTAGTGACATTGATGGAGCAGAGTTCTCAGAGTGCACAACTCTCACTCCTGAGTGTCTGTGGCATCCTCAGCAGCTCCCTGTGACCTGGGCTGCCATCTGGGTGAGTTTGGGTTCCTGCACTTCTGAGCTCCCATGCCAACATCCAGGCAAAAAAAACCACATCAGCTCTCTGCAGCCACCTCACAAGGGGTTTCCATAAACACACACAGAGTATGCTGCACAAATCACCCTGCTCAACTTTGTCAGAGACATTCCAATGAGCTCCCAAAAGCTGAGACAGTCTCTGCTGTCTGCATTCTGCTTCCAACAAAGGCAGCTTTGTTCCCCCAGGAATGGCCCTGTCAGGCATTAGAGGCCTATCTTGGTGTTTCTGGAGAGTTTCCATTCGACATGTTCCCAGTCAAAGCTCCTAGATATAAGCTGTAAGCAATTTTGACTCAAGATTTTACGAAGTATTTTTATCAGTTCGTGTTCTTCAGCTCACCAGACTTCTGTCTGAGCAACCCAAACCTCTGAGAACTACACTTGTACTCAGGTTTTATGTTTTTAAGTAAAGGCTACTTAAAATATATCATAATGGGACAGATACTCTACTTTATAACAGAAAGATTTGCTACCTTGGAAGACCTTGAAAATGGAAAGTGGCAGTTTGGAGATACCAAGAAAGAGACTTCTGGTTTAAAATCACTTCAATGATTTACACAAATGATGTTGGCCAAAGCCACTCAGTTTTGTTACAGTTTAACAGATTGCATAACTCAGGAAAGAAAATATGTTTTCATATAAGTTTATAACAGAGTTATGACTTCTGTTTTTACTCCAAGTCATAAAACCCCAAGTACTTCAATCATTAGACTTTACAGACAAGAAAGAATAAGATTATAATTCTAGGCTAGTTATGGTATTTTTCCATTCTTTGGTTTTTTCCCTCCCCCTTCCACTTCCTTTGAAGACTATTAATCAAAATGGTTGTAAGAGTTCCCCTAAAAATATTGCTCTCCCCTCCCCCATCAAACTTTCCTTTTACAATTCATGTAAGGAGAAGTTTTAAAAAGTACTTTTCCTTGAAAATAAAGACTTTGATAACCTGCACTCCCTGACACCATTCCTGGGGTGGCTGTGTGTTCACATAACATCCAACTTCTGGCAAAAGACCTCAAATCTAAGAGACAGAGAGAAACAAAAGGGATCGGGGAGGGAAAAGGGAAGGTGTCCCAACCAAATCCAAAGGTACTCCTGTTCTACAGCTCCTGAACTGGGTTTGCACGTGACACAACACATCAGCCTCTCTCACAGGTACACTCCATGAGACGAAATCTTGTTACTGCATAAACTTCACAAGACAAACTGCTGCCCAAAAAATGGCAAATTCCACAGACCCTGTGGGGCCTCAGAGAGAAAAAAAGCCAAGAAAGGACATTACCATGACTGGGAACATAAAACTTCACAAGTCCCAAAGAGGTATATGAGGGTTTAATGCTAAAGAATTCAGAACATCACAATTTCTATGAGAAGGACATTGCTACAAGAGGGGAAAAAAGCAGAGGGGACAAAGCAAACAAATGCTCAGACTCCTTATTCAACCCTCAGCCCTGTTGTTTCTGAAGGAGGTCAACACATCTCTGTTCCACAGGTAGAGAGATCCATGTAAAGTTGTAGTGTTACAGCCAGGATCACTGAGTACCTTCACTAGGCCACACACAACCTTCAGCCTCTGCCTGATTTCTTTTCTTGTGTAGCCCACATCAATGCACCTGCTGCTACTGCTGTGAATCATCCTGGGAGAACAAACAAATTGTAACAAAGCAAAGCCTCATTAAGCAACTTTTTGAAACAGAGTTTGAAGCACTGAAGCACCTGGTGAGTACACATACATATGCATGTCCTGGGTTAAGCAACATCAGTCACAAACCACACTTTCCAACATTTGTATCACCCAAGATCTGCCAACATACCCTCTTCTTTAGGCACTATTTGTACAGTGTCAGTTTTCCTTGTTATTCACTTTGTACTAAGAAACTTGCCCAAGAAAAGCAGCAGCACAGCAGATCAGCTGCATGCCAGCAGTGCCAGCCCCTGCTGTCAGGTGCTGCAGTGCACAGCAGCTGCCCATGGTGTTTGCACAAGGGCTGCCAACAGACACAGAGCACGTGGCACAGCAAACAACCAACCAAGGAAACCCTGGCAAGACTCAGCTCTTAAGGGCAAGTATGAAACTCCTGCTCCATTTTTAACAGTTTAGTAAGGCAGAGTAAGCTTCATTTGATGTACTGTAAACACTAGGTATGAATGCCTAATGCATCAGCATTGAGCTCAGGAACAGTTCAGAGCTGAAGGATGCTTATTTCTACCACAACACACTCTGTTCTTCCCTTCCCTACCCATTTCCAGAGACACTCATACCAGGCCAACCCCATCAAATGTGAGCTCAGAATGGCAAGGTGAGGCTGTCACACCCCTGTGCATGTCCACTCCTACTTGCACCTTCCATCTTCAAGCTACCACTAGCTTTGGAAGAAATGGTCACATTCAGGTGGTTAATTCTCACAATAAGACCCTGGCTATTATGGTTAAACACATGTAACTGTTAAAATCAGAAATGCTACACTTACTTTTTGCTTGCTTCATAAACATCAGTGATGTTGGAGAAGAGGTGGTGGCTCTCTGTTTTGGTCATTGTGAGGCTCAGCTCCCTGGAATTTTTAAACATCCGGATCAGAATCTCCAAGCTCAGCAAATAAGAATGCTCAGAAGAGATCACTTCAAATATGGCCTGCAAAGTGGAGGGGGAAAGAGAAGACTTACTAGTGACAACACAGGAAATGTTGAGAAGGGGCACAAAGCAAAGTTAGTGGGTGCAAACTAGTGATTGTGACTTAAATATTCATTTCTGTGATAGCTGCATCATTTACTTAGAAAAAAGTGATTTAACACTTAGGGGGAAAAAAAGACTTTTTAAAGACGTCTATATTCAGAGTTTTCAATGCAACTGCAAACAGAGTTTGAAGACAAAAAACTCAAAGTCAAGTGTGACCACTCCTCATTCATACTCCTGAGAGGTGGGTCTGGGGGTGTTTAGTGGGCTGGTGTGGGGGGTTTTGGTTTGTTTTCACGAATGCCTGTTCCTGTGGTCTGTCTGGAACCTTCCCATCAGTCACACAACTGCTCACCAGCCACTATTTGCCTTTGCTCTTTCTAAACAGAACCTGCTGAGGCATTGATGGTAACTGTTTCTGGGTGACAGGCCCTGCAGGCCAGGAAGCCCTGTGTACACCCAGGGTTTGGCTGTGTGTCAGCAGTGACACCTTGGCTACTCTCAAACTCCAAGTCAGGAGCAGGCACAGGAGTGGCCAAGCTCCCTGCACAGGACAGGGGCCTGGGGGAGCAGCCAGGAGGGGTGGCAGCCACTGCTCCCTTGGTGGTCAGTGACCAGGCACAGCTCCAGGGCAGTCCCTCACCTCCCACACAGCCTCTCTGGTTATCACCTGCCACTTACAGAGCAGCCACTGTCCCTTCCATCAGTTGCCTGACACATAAAGCAAACCTGTGATGGACTTTTGGACTTTGAAATCCACACACTTGTTCCATCAGAAGTTTTCATATCTTATGAAAAACTTACTCAGTTTTCAGACATTTTACCTCTCTAGGGTTTATTTGCAGAGTTCTTGTATGTAGATACATGGAAAAAAAAAAGTCATGAACCTTTTAGTCATGAGCTCCACCACATCCCATTGTCCATCAGTGCCATTATGCACACAGACTAATACAGCAGAGGTCATTCCCTTCAGAGTTCTATAAAGTTGTGCAGGTAATGTAACTTCATAGTTCTCAATATAACTAACATTAACACTTGCAGATATTATTTCAATAGTTATTTATAACTAACTCCTCTAAGTATTCTCAAGCCAAAGGAGAAATATCCAAACACAACAGCACGTGTCTGAGGTTGGAAGCACAAGGCTGAGGTCCCTCATGGACCTCTTCCCAGTCTGGTAACAAAGTCATTAGCATAGCCAGAAATAGATGGGACAAAGAAAGATGCTTTGCTTCTAATGTATGAGAAAAGGGGAAAGTATCATCTCACCATAACCCAAACACATTTTGGAGAGTAAAAAAGGATTAAGAAACAATCTTGACTGACTCACAACCTTCTCTAACCCTGGCAGTGTTCAAAGCCAGGCTGGGTAAAGCCTTGAGCAACCTAGTCTGGTGTGAAGTGTCCCTGCCCAGGGCAAGAGGTTGGGACTAGGTATCTCTAAGGTCCATTCCAACCCCTTAACAATCTATGATACCATGATACAGTGATCCCAGCACCCTCAGGAGCTGAGGGGTTGTTCCCAGTGCTTGCTAACAGGGTTCCTGAATGGCACCTAAAGCAAGACTGTGCCTCATTGCACCATACCAAGGTCAGCAGATGTTTGAGCCTGATGGACAGTAACACTCTCAAGAGGCCACATACACACTGCACTCGGTGTACACACACACACACAGAGTTAACTTCAGCTTGCAAGAAAAGAATATCTATTGAAAATAATTCAAACCAGTCTATGATATTTTCTTGAGCCAAAACATGCACAGACCCACCTCCCTAAAGGGTTCTGAGAGGTGGGATGTGTATGAATGCAGGACACTGACATCAATCAAGGCAGAAAACAAATATACTTTTCTGCAGTGACAATGTATTATGATATAAAATAATCTAATGGGCTCTAAAAAGCAATTTAAAGAATACAGAACAATTGATAAAAGGCAATTTAAAAGAAATAAAGCAAAAGCACAAGTTGGTAGTGCAGCTACAGCTTAGGAATATTTATTTAGGCTCCCTCTGAAAGAATGGGCCTCTAATATTAACATAAAAACCCTCTGGCTTGAAAACATTTTGGTAACATTAAAGACTTTACATTTAAAAGGCATCCAAAGAACTTGTTCTCTTTGAAGGGATGCAAGTATGACTAGGATGTAAGTATGGCTGTAGGAAACACAGACTGAAGGCTCCTAAAGCATATGACTGAAATAAATGCCTTGTCTCAAAAGCTTCCCAGCAGGAGGAGGCTGAGGTATGTCCTGAAGTGAAATGAAGATACTGGGACAAATTGCCATGGCAAGTAACGCTACAGTGTTTCTATTATCAAAAAACCCTTGTTTTTTCCCTATTGAAGGACATACCTCAGGAACTGCAGGTATACAGTTGGCTAGGCCAGGCTATGCTTTGCAACACCACTCATTCACTTTGACATAGCCCCTGTAGGTAAGGAAGTAGGGTAAAGCAGATACAGTGGACACAGGGAGCAAAGGGGAAGAGGAAAGTGGATAAAGAGGACAAAATGAGCAAAGGGGAAAGAGACAGAGAGAAAAAATATAACTACATCAGTAATGCTGCTGTTGTCTGCAGTGCTGACAGCATGGAGGCACCTGCCCTGGCTCAGTGGGAGAGGAACTGGTGAGGTCCAGCAGGAACACAGTGCTCAGCACTGCTCACAGGATTAGTTACAACTCCCTACCTTTAAAAATTCATGTGCCACCTCCTACCCTGTGTGAATTCAAGGTTAACCTCACACCTTCTCCAGCACAGCAGTGACTGTGCTGCCAGGCAGCACCTGCTGCAGGGACTACACCCAGGCCCCCCCGGCAGGGACACATGCACCTCAGTGAGAGACAGGGTTGTTTATTTAGTCTCCATGGGGAGAGAAGACACTTCACTCTAGGGCAGGAAATGGGATGAACTTGTCTCCTTATCAGCAAACAGAGTATTGAACCAGGCATGCAGTGCAGCCCTGAGCGACCAACCCCACAGCATGGGTTACTGAGAGAGTACCTCCTGTCTTTTCCTTTCTTCCTGGCTGATTGCTTCTGATAATCCATTCTTCTTTACCTAAAAAATAAATCAATTGAGATTGTTAATATCTTTTGTGGAAAAATGTGATTACAAAGAGATACAGGACTATCAAAACACTGCACTAATAATTCAGCCAAAGAACCTACCCACTTCAGACAGCAATGAACCAGCAGAAATAAAAACAGTTAAGTCAGTAACATCTTAATTTGACTCATCAAAATAACTAATTCATTTCATTAAAAATTATCTCAAGACATAAACACAGGAGTACTCCCACAAAAGCAAGCACAGTAGAATGATGGTCACCCCACATGACCTCCCTGGACTTTACACACAGAGAAGCAGGAAAACTGCTTTCCCCTTTCACTTAGATTTCCTGACCGACACATGCACATCACAAGGTTCCTTTCCCGATCTGGCCTGAAGAATCTTAGTGCCTTCTCTTGTTAAACATGCCTAAAAGCACAGGCTACCTGACTAGGTAGTTTGTTGGCCAAGGAGTTAGTCTGGAGGAGCTCCAGCTTTACCCTCAACAGACATAGCAAAGCCCTGAGCAAACACCTCTGTGTTTCCAGCCTCGTCCTGAGGACGGTGCCTATCCCCACTGGGCACTGCAGCCAATCAGACCAGACAAGTCTGTCCCAGCTCTCAGACACCTGTCAGGAACTCCAGCCACAGCCACTTTTCCACAGCCTGCAGCCACATGCTCAGCTACCAAATTCCACATCAGGGACCCCTGAAGTTTATTCTTGGTGCAACTGACACGCATTACATGGTTTAACAGGAGAATGTTAAAACACCCAAAATCCCAGAAAGTGAAGCACCGAGGAGGGCCTGGCCTCCTGCATTTCCTAGAGAGCATTAAACACAGGACCCCAAACCAGGAGGGACAAAATTTGGGAAACAGCACAGCACTGTACACGTGGAAGACACTGCAGAGGTATGTCATGGACATGAGACCTCACATGCATTTCCCTTCTCCCATTTCCCTCTGTCTTCTCCCAAAGCTCCTAACCTACTATCAACAACAGCTTTCTCTTCTTACTCCAGCTGTTCCCTGGAATCCTAAAGGATATGTTAATCCTCACTTTATTGCTGCACAGCAGGCCCAGGAGTAAAGAAGTGCCTACGACACTTCTGGATACTGAGCAAGAACTAGTTAGATGCCTTTCCATTAAACTATTAAAGTACCTCTAAACAGCAACCTGAAAGCTCTGGAGCACTCCCCAAGGGAAGGCAATGGCTCTGGGAAGTGCAGTATCCCTAGGAAGTACAACATCACTTTTTCTGGATGCAGAGGAAGACCTGTCTAAAAATATGCTGACACAGGAAATACCTAAGAACATATCCCCCAGATTCCAGTGCTTCCCGTTACCACAGCCCTGTCAATGTCCAAAGAGAGCCATGTGGCCAGCACTGTATCCATGTCCCAGCCTGCAGCTGTGCTCCACGGCCACTGTTGTCACATATGGGTGTGTACATACAAAGTACACATGAACTCATCACATCAGCAAATGGCCCAACCTTACACTCCTAATCAACACTTCCAAGGAGACAGAGGCCCAGCTATGGACGCTATTTTTGGCATTTCTGTGAAAGAAAATTCAATTCCTAATTCTGAGGTGTCCAAAATCTTTTAGCCAAAAAAAATCCCCCAAAAACCACATGTGACACTGTGCAAACAGAAACTTAAGCTAAGAACATGACCAGAAGGAACGGAAGAGGCCCAACACCACACCTACTAAGGCTGTCTATTGCCACACTGACTGCCTTTCTCCAGGCAACTGAGTTATGACTGATTCAGCAGTGGAGACAAGGAGGAAAGGATGAAAGGGCAACAGGTGAACTCTGTGCTTAGGGACAAGAAGCTCCCCCAAAATAAGGAGGTGCTGAAGGGGAAGAACTCACAAGAAATATTTCTTTGAGAAATATAGTCAGTGGCTGCACCATAAACCAAACTGAAGATTAGCACTTTGATACTGGGATAGAAACGAGAGCTAATGCAGAGGTCAGCCCTGAGGATCCCTGACCACCAAAGCAGGGAGGGGTTGTCTGACACCACAGGGAGGAGGCAGCCATAGGCAGGTGACAATGTGTGGCTCTGTAAAGCAACTCACAGCAGCTTTGCAAACAAACAAGGAAAAAAAAAAATCACAGCCAAGACCAATCTCAGTTTCACAGATCTACGTACGCTGCAAAGTGACAGAAATGCCCTTTTTAAATTACTATTATCACAAAGAATCTGGTAACTCCCTATGTGAAGTCCACTATCCCCTCAAACACACTTGGTCAGTGCTGCATCAGCTGCTCAGTCTGTATGGCCACAGAAACCTCCTGCAGAGAGAGTGGATCCCTCTGCCACCTCCCTCAATTTCCCAGCACAGATACTGCTAACAAACACCAGGAACATATCATTCTCCTCCTTTCCCAACGTGTGCTGAAGTCCCGGACACTGACATCTTCCAGCTGAGTTCCTGCTAAAACTCCAGACTCCCTTTTTCACTTTTTAATATACATTGACAGCATGTAATTTTTCCAGGGCTATAAACACAGACACTATGAGACTCGGATTCCCAGATTTTGGTTTCTCAGTGCACCACCTTTTCCCACACACTCCCCACTTCCAACCTTGTAAAAAATACAGACGGGGCACCAGTTGCTGTGCTAGAAACAGCAAGGATCAAGCTGGTTTCTGTAACCGAAGCATGGCACAGAACAGTTCTCTCCCTGACACGATCATTATGCTATTTTTGTCTCACAAAAAATTAATGCTTAGAAATTATCATTATTATTATCACTGAATAGCATTCCTTCCCAAATACCTCAGCTGCTGAGCATTTAACTGCTAGTTTGCCCAGAAGGCAAAAAAAAAAAAACAAAACCCCAATCTGACTTCCTTATAAACAAACATTTTTGCAACATTAAGCAAATGAACTACATTTAAAGTACTTGATTTGTTGAAAAAATATTTAAAGCAAATCTTTTCAAAACCATAATGTCTTGCCTTCGTCATAATTATTGAATCAGAGGGATTCATATGCCAATACCTTAAACTGCAAGAGAGCTCTGCTAATCAGACCATCTAAGCAGCCTCAGGGGATCTCCCTGAGGCTTAATCACTCATTTATTGGGCACTACACAGGCAACAGCCCCAGCTGTCAAACACTCCAGGCAATCATGTCATGCCACAATCTCTGATGCCAGAGATGAGGATCTACAACATTCTACAAGTTAAATGAACAAAACCAAAAAACAACCCCAAAATCTTTATTTTAGGGATATCCCTCCAAAAGCCACAAAAATGATCAAAGGATAAAGGATGATAGAAAAAGATAAAAAAAACCCAGAAACACAATTTGTACAGTTTCTCTAGTCCCAAAATCATGAGCACAACAAAAACTTGCCGAGATATCAACAATTATCATTACTTCGCCAGCTTATTAGCAGGGAAGGCAGCAAGACTACAGAGCTAATTAAACCAGCTGAATTCACTTTGTTTAATGATGCTCTTAAGCCAAAGCCCCTGCAGATGCTTCCCAGCCTGTGCTAGGGACAGCAGAGCACCACCAGCACAACACTCAGCTTTGCAAAATGGTTTCCATTAAACATCTGCACTCAAGTCCACTTAAAAACTGGCGTGGAGTGAGTTAGAACAATTCAGCAGCAACTTGTTTGTAACTAACTGAAGCTTTTCTTTTCTATAATTCACCCTTTTAGTGAACTCACACACTTTGTTTAACAAATCAGAAAGTTGTGATTTTGCCAACTACAGGACCCTGAAATGAACTTTCTCAGTTTCATTGCCTTTTATGTAAAACAAAGACCAGCAACTGATCAGGACTTCCACGTTGTTCGTAAGAAATGAACAAGATGACAGAGTTCAGCCAAAATCTCCAGCAGCAAGAAAGAAGACTTTGCCTGAGCCCACTGTGAGATGCTTTGGCCACCCAAGGATTAAACACTCACCACGGACAGTTGACTCCATGTCGATCTTAGGGGCTTGTAGTGAAAAACCACCTTGTCATCTGCTTTCTGCTCCTGGGGCTCAGACTCTTCATCAGAGTCTATGTCCAGAGCTTTTTCTTTATAGTTCTGATATAATACAGCATTTTCTGTAAAACAACAACAGCATGTCAGTCATTGCAGGAAGTTTAGTTGGTGTTATAAGAACTATAAGTAACATTTGAACAATGAGAGACACCCAAGTATCACTGTGCCACGAGACAAAGATAGCATCTGATCTGGGCTGCACAATGGTGCAGGACAGCGACAATGGGTCACTGTACCACTCCCAAAAAGATCCACACGGACAGAATTAAAGAACAGATGTGGCCTTTGTCAAGAAAAACACAGGACACCATTTTTTCTCCTTGGTTTGCTGTGCCATTTCATAAGCAGCCAGTGATGAGGGACTGGGGCTGTGTCAGGAGCAGGCCTCATCTGCAGGTCTCACCTGCTCTCATCTGCAGGACCATCACAAGGACACTGCCCATGGCAGCCTTTCTTCTGTCTGCTTTAAATACTGTTTACACATTTCACCAAGAGAAGGAAATGATCCCAATTTCAGAGATTTGAGGTCGGAACTATACCAAATAGCAAATTCAGGGCTTGCCTGAGGCCTATGAACCTCAAGACAAAATACACTCATGTATTTGAGTTCTGCCGGTATTAATTCAGTACTATCAGTGGCAAAGAAACAGGTGTAGAGCACACCCTCTCCATTTCCCAACCTCCCTGGCCACACACCCATCGAACAGCAGACAGAAAGGACAGAGAAATTCAACACCAGAATAACCCACAGATGGATTAAGCATTAAGTAACCTCTGAGTACTTTAAGACAGGCCACACTTTGAGTAACATCCAAACATCCCTACAAGAGGAAGGGAAAAGCAGTGGAAGGTCTGGCTGCTCCACACATGGCCCCAGCTCCTGTGGTCTCACACCTGGCTGGGTGGATCTGTCCCACCTGCTCAGACCATACAGCCCTGCCCAAGGGTTATACAAGGTCTGGGCTTTGCATCAGTTCTTTGGGAAGTGTCTCTACAGTTCATACACTTTTATCAGAGGAAATTGTGTACAGCAACTGAATTCTGAGGGGCACTGCAGAGAAAGTTATTAGCTGGGATCAGTCCAAAGCAGAAGGTGAGTGCTGCAGGGATGACCACACGTTTATCCACAATGTACTGCACCTGAGAAGAGTCCCAGGGAACCTGCAGGAAGGCAGTCCCACCTGGAGGAACCAGCCTCACCTGTGGAACCCTACAGAAGTCTCAGGGCTGAGCCTGACACATCCATCAGCTCATCTTTTGGGAGGGACAGGAGGATAAGTGGAAAAGAAGCCTTTCAAACAAACACCCATTTTTAGTCTGCCATTTGATAGTCTTAAAAATATCCCTAAAGTATGTCTAGTGCCAAAATTTTGTTCCACATTTCAGCCAGTTTATTGAAAAACAAGCTGCTTAGTCCTTGGCTACATGCAAAATGATCCTGAAGTTCATGTCTCCTGGGACTGAGCTCATTAGCAAGTGTGTACAGAACAGGACTTACCTTCGCCATCGAATGTCCCTTGTCCTTTCAGCATCTTCTGATAATTTTAGCAGAAAAGAGATATATATGTTAGCAGGAAAATGCAAACTAACCACAGCAGCAAGAATTTCTGTTTCATTCAACACTTAGGCATCAAATTTACAGGCTCTAACCTATAAACTCGGGATGTTGGACAAGTACTCACAAACACAACTGTTTCACACAGAAAGTAAAAAGCTACTCTAGTTTCATTTCTCCCATTCATTGTTTATACATATTTTGCCTAAATGCTTCACTTTTCCTGAGTTTCAAAGCACAGAGTAGTGGTTTGAGAGGGTTCAGTGAACCTGCAACTCATCCCACTGTCTCTGAGCTCTCCTGCGAGGCCACAAGGCACAGGACTGGGTGGTTATCCTTCCACACTCTGCAAACAACCACCACTTTAAGGACTTTGTAAAGGAAGGTTTTGAGAGCAAAACAAACTTCTGAAATACAACAGCTGTTTTGCTGCAGCAAGGCCTGTGAGCTAAGAGTCTATTTAATAAAATGCTACCAGCAGAAAGCTCTGTAAGGACAGAACAGTGTCATGTCCTCCTATTTTCAACATAACTTACTGTTTACGTCTCCTACCAAACCAAACCAGCCCCTATTCTGCAGCTGTTCACTGTTTGATCGATTCTGATTTCATCACTTGCAGCTCTTTCACAAAAACTTCCATTACCATCATTTCAAATTTGGCTGAAAACTGTCACAAAGCTGATAATTATTTTAACAGCTACAGCATCGGCCCTTAGCCTGGGGTACTTTATTACACAATTCCAACCACACCACAGAAACCTGTGAATATATTTCATGCAGTAACAAATTACATTTAGAAATAAGGAAATACAATATTACACTGTATGCTCAAGTAAATTAGTATTTTCAGTAAGTCTTTGTAACTTAATTTTAACACATTAACATGTAATATAAATCTACTACACGCAAGGGATACAACCAAGGTTTAAAAACAGGCATTCTGCTTATACTTGCAGGCATTAAAATTAAGATACCTGATGCGGTCTCTATCAATTTAAAAATCACAGTAATTTTTAAAATTACTTCCAAAGTAACATCTCATATAGGAGAGTGAGGGAGAAGTTCCTTTTCCTGTCTCTGCTCTAGCAGGCAGATTTTATAAAGACATCGTCTCTTACTCCTGTCTACTCTTCTCTGGGAAACAGGTTTTAAAGCATCAGTTGGGTTGGGAAAGCCTCCCTGCATGTGCTGGGGAATCCAGCAGGAAAGGCGAGCAGGAGGCTGCCGGCAACGCCGTTCTGAGCTGCCCAGATTTCAACAGTCCTGTCCCTGCAGCCTCCACCGCCTCGCTTGGAAAACAACACTCGTCAATGATCTGCGAGACTCGCAACTAACAAAAGTTTTGTGTTAGCAAAAAAAGCCAACTGAAAAAACCCCCAGCATTTAAGGAAACTGTAGAGTCAGCAAACCATGCTGCCGCGCACACCATCACCGGCGAGCACACCTTACCTTTATCCTACCCAGGCTCGAAAACTTCTCTTTATCTTCAACCACCGCTTTCAGGATGGGCTGGGACATTCTGTTTTTCTTCTTGCAGTTGGCAGAGCCGTCCAAGTCCACGCCGCTCACCACG